ATTAGCAATAAAACATATACAGGCTTCTTGGCGGTGGTTGGTGATAGTCTATTTCCAGTTACAGGGGGAAGAAATGTAACCTTATTAAATCCTGTGTTATATCCCTTCCAAATCATCTATAAAATTACCATAACCAGAATCCACACCTACACCTGTAAAAATAGTCTTATTGCCTCTGCAGTGAATGTGTGTGTGTGTGTGTGCATGCGTCTGTGTGTGTGCATGTGTTTGCGTTTTTGTCAACCACCCCAGCTTGTTCTGCTGAGACCCACTTTTTGCCATTCTAATGAATGTTGTTAAACTGGTTAGGGTTCTGGGTCCAGGGTGCTTCCTCTCCGGCTCCGCTGTGCCTGAATCTAATGTGGAAGACGGATGATGCATTGGAACCATCACATCAAGGAGTTGTTCATATGAGCCTGGGTTTGCCTGCGAGGTTCCACGTTGCCTACAGTCTGTGTGCGATGGGTGGGTGGGTGGATGGGTGTGGGCTGCTGCGGGGTGGGCTTGGACGTGGTTTGTTTTCTTTTGGGAATTGCGTGTTTCAGCAGTATGGATATTGCAGGCTGTGGCAGAAGGAATAAACAGACTTTGTCTCTGCCTCCCCTCCCATTTCCCACACCTCACTCCTCTTTCTTCAGGGATGGGCCTGTTCACAGAGGCGGTTCTGTGACGGATGTTTGTCTGTGTTATGCGTCTATTTATTTGTTCGGCAAACAAATGCATAATTAATGAGCCACCGCCACATGTTGTCCTTTCGGCGTGTTCTCCGTTCGCATCAGTGTCTTTTCCATTCAAGTGCAAATTAGCTGTGTCTGCACCACCTTAACCGTTAAACGTCTCAGGTGAAATCTGATATTTGACCCATGTTTATGATGTCTTCTTATGATTCAGAATAGAAAAGAGACAAATCAAGTGAGTGTGAAAATGCTTTCTCCTCCATAGAAGAGGGCACAGGTGGTTTTATGTCTAGTTACGTCTCAGTGCCTCGCCGACAAAATTCCGCCATTACCACGGCCCATGAAATTAGCAGGGCTCATTTGTGAGGGAACCTATGGAAAAAGGGTTTTATAAAACAATACTAAGAGGTATGGGCCATTAAAATTGGAATAAATCCTGATGTTCAGTGTGCGTTTTCCTTTTAACCTGCAGCCACATTAGATATTAGACTGAGTGGGCCCCTAAGCGTCATTTCAGACCCAAAAGGAACTGCCTGTAGGTTTGCCTGGGAACAGCTTGAATAAAAATAATGCTGTGAAAGGCTTATTCACACTCACAATCACACTTAAGGCAATTTCAGCCATAACAGGAGCTAGGACTGGGAGAAAATGAGTCCATGGCAAAAGACACCTTTTCTGAGGGTTTTTTTCCTCCTCTCATGCATACCAATGTATTTCTATCGAAAGGAAAAAGAAAAGTTGGAAATCTTGTCAGGGTCTCTCTCCTTTGGCAGCATTTCTTTAGAAAAATGCAATGTGTTTCCACACACTGATATCCAATGGCAGAGAACCAGAAGAAGGAGCTATAGAAATTCAGAAACAGAAAATTTTGCATCAAACTTGGCTTCATTAGTCAAACTGACAACCCAGTCACATGGGCATTTAGAGATAATTACTTGTTGAATCTCTGGTTGATATCTTAAGCACTCGCTCAGCCTCTTGTTAGTCTGTAATGCTGCTCTCAGAGGAAGCAAGTGAACCAAAGCACTCAACTTTTCTGCTCTTAAACCACGAGTTAGGATTTAAGATGGGTCGGGATGTTATTTCAATCTGGACTCACAGCTTTTCAGTTTCAGTTTTTTTCGGGCCTCTGAGTGGAAACGTAAACGCTGGATCTAAAGACGCTTCTCACTGTGACAGAAACGTTTCCTGTTGAGGTCAAAGGCATCAACAGTGTGAGCTATGGAGACTCTGCAAAGATTAAACTCCACAAAAAGAGTTTCAAAGTAAAAGCGACAGTTTACTTTAAAATATGCAGCATGTAAAACTAAAATCTGTGATTGTGTCTCATGCACTCTGCACTGAATTGTACTATAAAATGATATTGAAGCTAAAATCATGCGCATACGAACTAGGTTATGACACAAAATGGTGCATTATGTCAGGGATGGATTCACATGCACATTGGTTTGTGCCAGCAGCAAGTTTATGAATGACCTATTTCACAACTCTTTTCCCATGGACAGACTTTGTCTCTAGAATTAAAGATACAAACAAACTGTCGGAGGGCGACATTCATCTTTTTTGCACAAACTCAACTCAAACTCACACACAAACGGAGGCGCAATGACACTACCTACTGAAGTAAAACGAAACAAATTACCCACCGGAGATATGTGTGAGTGATGTAATTACATGTTTAGACACGACAAGAGGCAGTGGAATGAACGTCAAAATGTCTTGATGACAGCTTTCAACTCAACACTAGACGACATTCATTCCCGTCGCTGAAATGGTTTTTGTGTTTTTTTGCTACAGCAAGATTTGATTGTGTTTTCAAAAAGGAGCTGCATTGTTCAAGGCTGAAAGAGCAGGAATTTAACTGTTTGTGGGTGTGTGTGTGTGTGCGTGTGTGCGTGCGTGCGTGCGTGCGTGCGTGCGTGCGCAAACATGTACATAATGGTTAAATGTGCACCGCTTGTTTGAGCCTGGGTGGGTGTTTACACACTTAAACAACCTCATTAATGAAAAGCTGACATTCTCCACGAGTGTCTGGAACCAAAGATGACATTCGCCTGATGAGTCCATTACATAATTTAGATTCCAATGCATAGAGCGAGGGGCCCCGCGGTGCAGCCAGCCTGTGATCCCAGTGCAAGTGCTGTGTCCTAGAATCACACAAACCAAAGAAGCCACCCTCACATGAATGTGTATCATGAGGACAAACGGTGATCTTTAAAGGAACCATGCAAGAGCAAATATTGCCCGGTCATAAAAGCCAGAAGGCCGCATGAGTTCAGGGCTTTTTAATGTCGACTTAAAGTTTTGCATTTAACTACGTGTGGCCTGTAAAGCACAGTTAAATGCCTTCTGTGCTTCCGTAAAAATGGCACCTATGTTTGAACGCATTTTAGTGGCCGCACAAATCGTACACTTACACTCTCTGATTATGAGGCCACTGCCATAAACAGAAACAAACCCCAGTTAGTAAAAGTTGCAGCCTTATCCCAGCATTTATGGATTGTTTGTGGTGTTTCCTGCCTATTACCAGTCTCCCTAGATTTAAACAATGTAATCATCACATGCATGAAAGTTAAATCCATTCTTTCTTGTAAAGAAGACTTATTTGATGGTATTCAATGAAAAAAAGAGGGTATTTGTTTCCATCTCTCATTTACTCTTGTGCGCTGCCTGTTTTTTTTAGATGACTATCTTAATTATCTAAGGGTGTCATTTGGAAACAGACTTTTCATTACGTTATGGGCACAATTAGCATTTTATAGGCCAATTTAAAACGCTCTCCAAATCACTCTGATTTGCTGGCACTTTCTTCTGCTTTGTGCAGTCCTGTTGCTGGCATCAGCAAGTCCTTTTTTCTCCTTTGTTCTCAGCTGTTGTGTCGTGTTATTCAGAAGATGAAGGTGTACTTTCAAAAAGTCGAGATATTTACATAGGAATAAGGACGTATTCTAGATGCTCGCGTCTATTAACAGTAAGAAATGTCTAAGCTGCCGTTGGGTCACATTCTTAAACAGTGTTTGTTCCTGATACAAAACAACAGTAGGTAGTGTTTCAACAAGTTAAGATTATGATAAAGTGTTGCAGACTCTGCAGTCTCGTAACTCTATGTTAAAACAGATGATTCCTCTGAAAAACATCTTTTTGTTACGATGAAGATCAGATTTGTGACGCTCAACCAATCACAGAGTCATCAACCAGTCTCAAACCTTTTTCAGGTATGGTCTTCTTATATTAAGATTCAAAGCCATTTAAAAAGCATCTCACACAGCACTTCAACATTTGTTATAGTTTGTTTTTAAGCTAACATTTTTTTATCCCCGTCGTTACATATTGCCATTTCACAGATAGAAACTAGGTTTTGTTTCTGCCAGTGATTACTGTCTATTTCTCCTTTTCCAAACAACCCCTCCACATCTACATGTTTTGTAAATGGCTCAAAGATGTGCCACCACAACAAAGTGTATAATTCAGCCCATTTAACTGAAAACAGGTCGGGTAAGAATCATCCACAGCTGAAGCACAACTCAACACATGTTTTGCCCTTTAACCCGACAGTCTCACATCAGCTAGATCAATGAAGTTGACCTGCAAAATTAAAGTCTCGCTGCAGCTCACAACTGCCACAATTAATCAAAAACATGGAAAAACCTTTTTCCGACATTGAGCACCAGCTCTTTCTGCTTTCACTAAGTCCACATCTCAACAGCTCCAAACACTGCAGCTTACACAGAAGGGATATTAACATGGGATGGAGGCTTTACACCTGAATTCACCTCATCAGTGTGCATCAACAGTAGAACCTAAGTTTCCTAAGTATTTTGAACATTTGTTGAATGTTTCAGAAACATATTTTAGTCATTGAAATACATATAGGCTTTAAAATTCTTAAACTAGGTTGTTGAATATATAATCAGTGATACATTTCTCTAAATGTAGAGGAAAACTGATATCAAAACTGATATTTAAAAAAAAAGCTAAATGTTTGCATGAGTGACCTCTTAGCTTTGATTGAATGGAATCTCCTGAATCATTATTCAGACGTGGCTTTGATTTTAGTTTGAGGGGGAGGGGGTATATGTACTTTGTGTGTGTGTGTGTGTGTGTGTGTGTGTGTGTGCGTGTGCACGCGATCGAGCGAGCGAGAGGGGGGGGGGTGATTGATTCTCAAACAAGATGGCATCCAACAACGTGACAATTCCCAAAGTTACACCACAGGGCGGGGTTAAACTACAGAATAGACGAGTTTTTTTTCATATGATCGTATTAGCATTAAACATATGTGATAAAATCCTTGTTTATATTAACTTGTATTCGGTGTTAAGTAAATGTGTTTCCCAGCCTCTGTCGTGCCATGCGTAAAAGCGCACCATAGCCATGCCGTGCTGTATATTGAAGCTCAGTATATCCATTCCAGCTAATGTATTCTATTTGGTAATCATCCACAAAGAGAAGGACGAGTTCATAACAATGTTAAAGTAGCTCCCTGTGTCTCTGTGCTGCCTCTCCTTTTAGAAAAAGTGGTGCTGCCTGATGGAACAGAAGGTTTCAGCACCTCGGACAGCGTCTGTTTGCTCGTTGAGGCCGCAGCTTCTCCTCAGTCGTGTGCGTAAAAAGTGATACATGCGCTCAGCCTATACAATACAATATCTTTTATTAAGCGGGACATAGGGATTCTTCTATTATTTCCACAATGTACATTTGGTGAGCAACGTCACTGAACATTAAATCAGTCAAAGCTACGCAGATTCCGAAATGTAGAACACACAATAATGTGAATATGTACTTTATAAATTATGTCATTATTATTTTTTTCTCTCTCTTAATAAAAGGGCTCTGAATCGTCTCCAGTGGCGGGAATATGTCGCCTTTTTTTCTCTTTTAATAAACTCGTCGGCGGCCTACATTTGGCTTATTTTCAATATGTTCAGCATCCAAACGCAACACCATTGACAGCACAAAAACATAAAAAAAAGAAAAAAAACTTCTCCGTTCGTGCAAAAAAATGCTTTGGGTGTGAAAGCACTTCTTCTATGGGTGTCGATAATTCCATAAACTTCACTTGGACGGAAACCATAATATTCTGTAAGGCTATACAAACATAAAATAGAGCATAACACACTCTGCCTGTCCAGGACTTCAGTTCTTCCACTCCTCGTCTTCTCCAGTGTCCATGTTGCCTGCAGGTTCACCCGTTTGTCTGTTGGCAAAGTTTGTTTTCCCAAGCAAGAAAAAAAATCCACAAACCCGACAAGCAAAACGCCACTGGCCGATCGATACGTTTTATCATCCAGATTGCGTAAAAGTTGACAGATGGATTTGGATATATGAAACTCCAAGGAAACGTTCATATTAGACTAGATAGTGGACGAGTGTAGGTATACAGATATTCGTCGGCTTCCTTGGCTGACAGTTATTTAAGTTAAAAATAAATGGCATGTTTTTTTTTCGTTTCGTTTTTTTTTGTTCTGTTCCTCAAACCCTTTAAGCAGAGTCCCGGGCGACGTGGATCATCGCAGATTAGATTATAGAGGAAAGACTAGAAAGCCTGAGAAGGTGGAGTATTTCCATCCGCCCATGAGGGTGCCCCGTTCCAGCTTCAGATAGACCCGGTCCTCCCGCTCGACCATCAGCAGTACTCCGTTGCTGGCCGCCTCTCTCGTAACGTCCTGGTCCCCGGCGAAAGCTGATATAACCGGATAATCGTTCTGCATCAGGTTCACCTGCAGGGAAGTGGAGACTCACATTCAGTTTGGCTGTAAAATGTTTAAAAATCATGTATGTGCACCAACGTCTCTGCTGATCGCTCACCTGTATGGTTTGTCTGTTGTACACCTTCACCACGTGAAAGCTGAAACTATATATCCCCCTCCTTGGAGCCTGGAAAACACTCGCTTTGAGATCGAAATGGTTGCCGATGTTCACTAAAACCTGTGACCAAAAAAGGATGCACAATAAGACAGCGCTCTGTTTTTCTCCCATGTTCATGCTTCAGCAGCTGCAACTGTGTGTTTGTCTCTGACACGCACATTGACTGCAAACACATCCTGGTTCTGGTATATGCCAAATGTTTTAGGCAGCACTATAGTCGCACTTTGGGATGGGGCTCCAAATTGAATGCGTAAAACGTGCAGGCCGCTGCCCCTCACATGCAGCCGTGAAAACTTATCAGAACTGCCCCATGGATCACAAACCACACAGTACACACGTCGATTCAACCAAGGCCTATTACGTATTTGTGATAAATGATCCTGCATAGATGATGATTCGTTTTGACAGCGTATCTCCAAATCGCGCGTTACGCAGCGCATTCAATGAAACGAAAATAGCACCTTCTTGTTTAGGTTGGATATAGTCAGGGGTGAGATCACGCAGAATGATAAGAAATCAATGAATCATGACCTTAATCAAGTAGTGTACGCCCACGGCAAATAGATAGAATGTAAGTTGATGAGAATATGAGAAAAACAATAAGAAGTAAACAGGGAGATTAGATATCGAGCCAAAGCTGATATTACACTATTGTTGGTCTAAATTCAGTGGACCTCTGACCTGGTCAAAATAGATCGTCATTGACGTGTTGCTCATCTCTGACGGCTCATGGTTGGTTCCACGCACGGCGGAAAAGGCCACCTTGGCCCCAGCGGATCGGACCGATATGCCGAGCGAGGAGGTAACCCCTCCGTCCGAAGAAGGGTTCGAGTCGCACACCACCAGACACTTCCCTTCGAGCACGATGGGCTCCGTGTCGTTCTGGCCGAGGCAGAAAGCCACGCCGCATCCCAAGAGGAGGGTCAGTGCCAGCATGGCACAGGGTCCCGGGCAGCGCGCTGGCACCATGGTCAGATCGCTGATCCCGTGCACGCTGATGGCAGCCCCTTGGAGGTTTGTCAGTGTTCGATCACCTGGTCCAGACTTACTCCCTTCTCCGCTCGCTTTTCCTCTATCTGTGATGCCCCTTACTCTCTCAAACACCCTCTGACACAAACGCACTCAGACTCTCTCCGGCTGCGACTCCCCTCCCTCCTGTGCGTCTTAGTTGATTTTGGGAGAGTATTCAGACAACTGCTGTTGTAAATCCTGTTGATAAGAAGGTGAGAATGAGAGTTTTACTGCCTGATAGCAATAAGAGGATTGTTTATAGTGTAGTTGTTAAACTTATCTATATTATGTGTGCGTAAAATGTCTTTCGTGCGTAAAAATGAACCAAAATTCTCAAATTTGAACAGTGACGATCTACATACATCGATATTGATTTTCTGTTTGCTTTATTATAAACAAATCCACATATATATGCTACTGCAGAGTTTTTTCCTGAGAGAACTGTGCGCAGCAGCACTTTATAACAATCTCTAATGCAAAATAAGAAGAGACGATACATGAAATGATATCCCCTCCTCACATCCTCACTGTTATACTTATATGTACGATGAAACGAGCACTTTGCGCGTATTTCTGCTGAGGAAAGGTAAATCACGACCTACCTGTGCTGTCCATCCCGCTGCTACACGCTCTCTGTCTCTTGCAGACTGTGAACTGAGCGCTCAGATCGCTGGTGCGAAAAGAAAAAAAAAGCAAAAAGTCTGTGGGCTCCGTTTCGAGGGACAACTCACGCCCATCCTTTGTGTGTAGCCACTGCAACGAGACTCCTCGGGAAGTGTCCCGCAATTAAGAGCACACGCGTGGATTAATGGGAATGTTTACATATTAATCAGTTCAGTGTTGTTTGCTCGGGGGGCCCGCGGGAAGGCAGAGATCATTTCCCCTCAACGTCTGTCATTTATATGCGCCGGGTTTCTCATGTCTCCTCCTGATTAATGTGAAATGAAAGGGGCTCTAGCGGATAACCTTGCTGTTGCATGGTACATCCGGCATGCATGTATATGTTTCTAATTCCGGACTTAAACGCGCATTTTTGAGTCCAGCAAAGATACTTGTGCGCCATCCAGTGGTGCATTTTAATCGTGCAGATACTTCTCAGAGGTACAGTATAGACATAGAAGCAAAGACGTGATGATAAATATGTGGCTATATGGTATATCTTATTGAGACTATAATGGTGTATCAGTAAATCATTCCACATGCACATGGTTAACAAACGACCCATAAGCAAAATGAAATAAGGCTACTCTTTAGAAAATGCTCACCTCTCAGTGAATTACCTGCACTTCACTGTAGCACCTTTTAGTCTTTCTTTTCAGTTCTTGACATGTCATCAACCTTTACAGAGCCGTGTGTCGAGACCCCCTTTCGGTGATACACACCTCTAAAGGGTCTGAGAGTGGGTTAGACCTTTTAATGAGCTGTCATTTTTCTACTTAAAGATATGCTAACTGTCTACATTATGCATGGCACTCACACTCTCAGGGAAAGGCACTGTACAGACTGTCTTCAACGTCGTGCGGCTCAAATAAATAGCAGGAGGAAAAGAAATGATTTCTTTGAACATAATTCATCAGGGCTGGAGGTTGAATCTTGAGTGCAAGCAAATAGATGGGAGGAGAGGACACAACCAAACATCACCGTGAATAAGCATTTCAAACACTGACGCAAATATGGTTACATTTCTACCAGCTGCTTCTATGAACATATTTGTTAAAATGGGCCTCATTGACTTTCAGTTGCAAGAAAACACAAAATTTCAGACTTAATCACGTTGATCCTTCCCCTCTCCGCCAGCCCCCTGCACATGGCTCTGTCACAGCTAACTGACAACCCATGCGGAAGAGTGACATCAGGTATCCGAGAGCCACAACTGACCCCAGGCCTTTAGAAGGACACATTGCTACAGAAAATGTCAAGTAAGGGAGGGGCATGCAAGGCAAAGGGACATGGCCTACATGGCATTACCATTCCAGCGGCTGCCGTTGCCCTAGTAGGGACTTCCCTTCCATCAGGGAAGCTGATCAGCTCGCCGCTAGACTGGCATCACTGTTATGGTGATGCTCCCTGACAGCTAGCAGAGCCTACTGGCTTCCAGGAACGGGGAGGTCGATTATGTGTTGGGTCCTAAAGCGAACCATCTGCTGTTGCAAGGAAGAATAGATGTGGTTGTTTTTCTGTACATAATACAAAAAGAGAAACATTCATATCAGCACCACCCTCCTCACTTAGATTCTGCTTAATATGCGAGTAGTTTTTGATGATCTTTCTCTGTCTGTTAATATTATTTCTAATATTTGCCCTAAATCAGCATCATCACATGCTTCATAAGGTCTACTACTATAGTACTCTATACTGACTTTAAAATAAATATATCTCTCTCCATCTGTCTGTGTGCACCTATAAGAGTCTGTATCTTCACATCTGAAATGAGGTCAGAGTCTCAACCAAGTTCATTTGTAACCTCTCTCTTTCTCTCTCTCTCGCTTTCTCTGTCTCTCTCTCTCTCTCTATCTGTCTCTCTCTCTCGGTGCAGCCCTAAGGGAAACCTCTGGGAGCGGGGGGTGTTATGTTTTTCTTGTCTGACATCAGTAAGATGTGACCTCTGTCTTAGCATCTGTGAGGAGACAAACAACATCGATATTGTCTCGTCCTCCCCCTGCTTGCACTGTAATAAAGCCCAGATGAGGAATTACACGACTCACTCCTTATAGCAGACTGTATTGTGGACGTACACAAGCTTATATGGTTATTACAGTGTGTGTGTGAGTGTGTGTGTGTGTGTGTGTGTGTGTGTGTGAGAGAGAGAGAGAGAGAGAGAAAGAGAGTGGAGGACTGTTTAGCCTTAATGGTTTAGGGTCATGGTTAGAGTTTAGGTTCAGGTTGGGGTTAGGGGCTGGGGAATGCATTACGCCAGTAAGTGTCCTCACAAAGATAGAAATACAAACATTTGCACCTGTGTGTGTGTACGTGTGCGTGCATCTTCACATTGTGGTGACAGACGAAAATCTGTTTATTCAATTTCATTTTGGGACAAAAACCAGGTTTTGTGAAAGTAAGCTGCTTAATTTTAGCATTGAGATTTGAATGAGGTTTAGAGTTGGGCCTGTGAGTGAATTGTTGTGTCACCAGACAGTGAAAGAAAATAATTACAATATGTGTGTCTACAAACTCTGTGGTCTATAAGGTTAATACTGTATCCCCACAATTTGAACAATTCCAGTCATCTGGAATGGAACAAGAATATGTTTTCACCTATAAAGTATTTATTTTTACTTACAAATTGTTGCAGACATATGAAGATAATGTCACGTGTATTAACAATGTGCTTTACAAAAAACCAAAACATAAGATAAAACAAATAGATGGATGGACAGACAGTATCAGTCTACTTCCACTCTTATTTTGAAAGTGCCACCTCTTACCGGAAAATGGGATCGGGTGTCACCATGGTGACAGGACGCAGGCAGTTTAATACATTGGGGTAGTCACGGTGATTCTTTGACGTAAAAAGCCCGCGTTGCTCTCCATCTGTCGTACAGAGTTTACGTCGTATAAGTTTCCGTTAAAGTTTCCGTATGAACGTGTAAAAACTCTTCAGAGCCGTTGATGTACTCTCACATGTCAGCGGTGAAATGGAAGAGAGGACTCAGAGAGGAGCTGACGCATGTTTACAGAGGTAACTTTATTTATTTCTATTAATTATCAAATCAAATTGATCTAATTCTTAAAAGCCTATGAAACGTGAGAAGTGTCTGTGAAGTGTATTTAAGCCAGTGCAGTGTGGTATCCACTGCTTCTCATTAGAAATGGCCCCGGTTTGCCAGCAGACTGTATTGAACACCATTAAGTGTTTAAGCACATCACACCAGATATATTGATTTCACAATTTAATAGTAACTAGCACCAACAGTCGCCTCATGAAGCCACATTTAAATTCACTAGATTTTTATTTTGATCCACACCAAATTGTACTCACTCATAACATTATGTTATTTCTGTCCTGTTTTGTGTGAATTACTTTCTTTTCTTTTTCTTTTCATTTCAAGTTTTAAGACTCCTGAGTGAAGGTTGTGGTTTTAAACTCTTCTTTATTATCTTATTTCATGAATCTGAGGAAACACATTATATATTTAATTTGTTTTACCTTTGTTCTATTCTACTGATGAAAGCTATACTGTGATAACGATTTGTTATTGTTTTATTGCTTTGCCCGACTGTAGTTTTCACATGGATGAGTGCTTCCTGCTCTGGTTGCTTCTCAACATTTTAGTTCTCACTCATGATTTAATTCATCACTTCCTGTACAGTGCGAAGTTTTACCTGAGGAAATGTGTCGGAACTACTGGGCATCAATTACGGAGGGATGTGGCATTCATTTGATTTAAGATTTTGGTTAAATATTGTTTTAAATGAGAACATCTACATGGGTCATTTCCTTCTTGTTTGCAGGATTGTATAATTTGATTAATAAGTAGCTTTTCAGAAGCACGTTGCTCTCACACACGGTGCGTCTGAAGAAATGCAGCTGAGCAACAGGTGTCATGAAAACACTGCTGCCACCTCCTTGTTCTGATCTCTAATTACCTTTTTTTCCCTCGTAGACTGCCATCTGAAATACTGATTAAGATCCTGTCGTACTTGGACGCCGCTTCTCTTTTCAGCATCAGCTACGCCAATAAGCTCATCTACCAGCTTACCAACGATAAGTGAGTACCTGACAAATCTTGTTCTTGCAAAATACAAATGAGCAGGTTTATGTAATTCAACAGTCAGTAAAGACAGTTTTCTTATAATGCAATGAGTGAGAAAACCTCAATATCAGAATTCCAATTTTGTCTGAATATCTGATGTCAGTTTGCTATAATTGAAGACAAAACAAATATTCACATTTGATTGGCTGAAACCACCTAATTCTTGGTATTTTTGTTGAGCCTTTCAATGATTATCAAATATGTTGTCTCTATAATAATCTCTCATCGTTGTCTCAAGTTACACCTCTTGTCTATTTTTGGTCTGAGTCTGAATGTTTCAACTTGTTGCAAGGTGACAGTGCGTATCATTTGTGTCTTAACTGCCATGTGTTATTCTCTCTCACCTATCTGCCTTCCAATGCAGTGCCCTGTGTAGGAAGATATACATATCAGAGTTTGGCAGGAATAAAAAGGGGAAATCTACGTGCATGAATGAGCTGCTGCTGCTGAAGACGGCCGCAGTGGGGCTGCAGGATCATGCCGCCGGCTACTGGAAGCGGCAGTTATTGAAGGCGGTAGCCACATGTGACATAAAGAAGTTGAAGAGAGACCTCAGACACATCAACCTCTTCACTGGGCTGCCCTATCAAACAGAACAGGTTCTCAGGTAAGAAACGGAACGATGGAAATCCCCCTTATGAGAACCACTTAGATGAAGGACCTGAGGTATATGATTTGCTTAATGTACCAGATACATGAATTCACTGGCCAGAAACTTGAGTAATCTGACAAGTGCTGCTTGTCGCTTATACCATGTGTTTGAACATCTTATAGCTACTGAGGTGGGAAAAAGGCTCTCATTATTTCGGTGGGAATCCTCGGGTCAGAGAGTTTTATATTTTACAGCTTGCTGCTTCAGTTAAATGGAAGCGTCTTGGTCATCGTGTGTGCAACATACTTGCTCTCTGTTTGCGTCGTCTTCCTGTTTTACAATTAAAGGCTGCTTGGTGAGGTATCATGGGAACCCCACACTGTTTTTGGTTTGCAAACAGCGAAACTTTGGAGATCCCTCCCTGTCAAGACAGTTCAAGGGTAGAGACGAGAGGATAGTCGAATCCGCTGGCAATCCAAACAAAGCGGGGTTTGTTTTTCATATTGCACCTAATAACAGTTTCTTATTAAAGGTGAGAAAGGAGGTCTCTGTCTAAATGTGATGCCTGCTCAGGGGGATGCCGGCGCACAGGGGAACGCTCCCTCACTGCCTCCACCGCAGAAAACGATGCTGTGTTTTTATAACCTCTGATTAGAGGCTGTGCAGCACTCAATTTTGAGTTCTGTGGCAGTCACTGTGGTACAGAGGGGAAACAGAAATAATTGTGTTCCTTGCAGAGGCTGTCTGAGTTGTTGAAACAAATTACTTAGACCCCAACCCCTCTTCCACAACACACACATGCACGCTAGCACCACTTCCTCCTTCCTCCCACAAACTCAGACAATTCCCTGTGGGGGTTTGTCTGTTAGAAACACTGAGGAGCATGCAATTTACCTTGGTAATAATCATTTCACAAGACATCACACATACAGACAATGCAGAGTGAAATCCCCCGGGTCATCCGGGGCCTCCTGGGCTGCTCCAGTTTTTGGCTTTGTTTCTCCACTTAATTGATATTGGATGGTGTCTCAGCAAGACACTGGCTGCATCACAGTGGGGGCAGCCCTGAATCACAGTTTAGACAGAATTGGATCAAGAGCTTTATCACAGCAGCCGCGGTTTCATTTCATTCGTCGCATATCATTTCATTTGCGAGAACAGTTTAACTGCGCACATACTACTCTCTGCATCTGTCAAAAGGAATGTAACAGCCATTAAAGTCATAGTTTGCAAGATTTAAAGAGCGAGGAGCAGCTTTACCCAACACTGCCCAATTATTTGCATTGTATTAACTTCAAATAAATGTATTGACGAAGAACTCGCTGGTCTTCCTGCAGCTATTCCGGAATATTAAGTGAGATATTTCCACTTTACAAAGTAAAGAGCCTGTTAGTCTCAGCTTTGTTTGTGTTTGAACCAGAAGCTAAGTCCCCGGCCGCTGTCACACTATATCCCTACATCCATCCATCTATACCGCTTATCCTTCCAGTGTTGCGAGGGGAGCTGGAGCCAACCCCAGCTGATGTTGCACTGGAGGTAGGAACCTGGAGAAAACCAATGCAAACAGGGAGATCATGCAAACTTCACACAGAAGACCCTGGCCGAACCAAGACCTAAACGGGGAACTTTCTTGCTGTGTGGCATCAGTGCTAAGTTGTCATATCTCATTCCAGAAACTTGCACGTCACCTGGGAACTGACGGCATATGAAGAGTCAGGGCATGAGGGCACACTTCAGCTCATCTGGTCCCGGTTCTGTGAGACGTCTGTGTGTCTTTGCTGGAGTGGAGGAGACTGCCTGCCCAACTACCAGCACATTTCCACCCTTCAGCTCCACGGTGTCAGGAAGATCACCCACAGCTGCTCCGGCCTAAAGAAGTAAGAGAGGAGGTGTCCATCTCCACTCTCTCTGTTTCTCTCCATCTGTCTGTTTCGACTTGTCTCATTTCTGTGCTTGCTCTGTCAGTCCTGGTGGGAGGTCCCTCATGTCCAAGGTTGACATGCAGGCTTTAACTCAAAGCGCGAAGGTCATCGGTCAGGACAGAATGGTTGAACTGAGGATGCTACAGCCTGGAATCCTCATCGGTACCTGGAAGGTAATTAGTTTACATTCATCCCATTATTTGAATGAATGCACAGGCTTATCCTATAGTAGCTGGAAAAGTAAGACTGGAGTCATTTTTGATCCATCTCATCCTTGTGAACATGATATGTCTTGTGAATGGAATATCTCAGAGATACCTACAGGGAATTTCTTCTAATTTGGTTCAACCATTCACTTGGACTCAAGCATGAACTTATTTTGGTCATCAAATATCACAATGACCTTATATTCTTGTCACTTCAAGGTCACTGAGGCCTCTCTAAATTAGTTTTTTGGCCTCTTGACCATGATATCTCTGTCTGCCTTCAGGGATTTTCTTCATATTTTGACCAGCTGTCACTTTGACTTAAAGATTAACTGATAAGATTTCAGTGATCAACAACTCTAGTTCAATCTCAAAGTGTGGAGAACTGAAGAGGAATTGAAGCGATGGCTCTCTTCACAGGACCAGTGCTCCGTCGCCTTCATCATGTTCACCCTTCACTTCCACAGACTGGCGGAGAGAAGCATCCAGGGATCTTTGTTTCGGTAGGCTGCACATGAACAGGCACCTCTTATTCACATGCTGACGGGGGGTGCAGTGTATCACTATCAGTTGGTTAGGGCTCAAATTCATAGAACGTGATAACCAACAGGATTCATTTGATGCTCCTGGTGTGACCCATCTGTAGAGCACTGCAGGGTGAGATCTGAAGCATGAGCATCAGTGACAGCTGAATATCCCCAGCACGGAAGGATAAAGTAACTGCGCCACATTTTAATATGAAGACGTTTATTCTTATCAGGACGAGTCACAGCAGGGATTTTTCAGTCTTTTTGGACACAGTGAAGCAGATGAAAATTGGTCAGGCCACAAGTTAACATTTTTTTAAACTTTCACGAGCCACTGGGCCAAACCCCACAGGGGTCACATTTTATTTTTCCAAATAAAAACAAAGATTAATTGAAGTTATTTGGTCATTCATCTGAGAGCAGAGACTGCATGGTTCCTTAATACCTCCACACCCATGTGAGTCTTGCACTTCAATGTGTGGACATGGCCCCCTCTTCTGGTTTCTTTTGGGAACACAATGCAGTTACACATTATGATTGTGGTCCACAAAGGAAATAAACTTCTGAAATAAACATCCTGATTCATTTTTTTTATGTTCTCTTCACACCACAGTTTGATAGTAATTGACATTTTACAATTTTTCCTCCTGCAGCCCCCATATGGAGCCAACGGTCAGACCTGCTTTTGATGACATAGATCCTGAGTATGGTCTCCATGGTTATCAACTACACATTGTTCTCCACAACACCATATGCAAGCTCATATCTGGAAGCTTCTCCCAGCTCTTCTGCAATAGAAGTAATCCATTTATACATATATCTGCATATACTGAGTCACACTGTGAAATGATGCAGAGACAATATAAGGTATCTACTGTACTGTGGATATTTAAAAACTGCAGTATCTCTGTTTGGGGCATGTGTGAGTAATGTGAATCATTAACAGGACTTTATGACTGGATAATAAGAAGAATCGGTACGATGTGTCTTGTAATTGTAAAAGTTTTTTCCTTTACTACAAATACTACATATTTAATGTAACACCTCCATAGCTACAAGTCCAGCACTAACAGATCTAACGCCACTTACAGAGTTTATAACTCCACCAGGACTAAACTTTGGACTTATCTCCTTATTTGGACTTTGGTTAAAATTGTATATTTTGATTTATATTTTTATTTGCACTCTCGAGTTCATCATTTCCTGTTTTACTTTGAAGCTTCTTTCCTGTGTCTACCCCTCACCTTACTTCCTGTATTTGTCTGAAGTTTCCTTCATGATTGTCTGCACCTGCTCTGTGTCACAGCTCGTGTTCAATTATTCCTGCCTCCTTTTCTTTTTACATCCCAGGATTTTCCCTGTGAGTTTGTCTCAGTGGTTTGTTCTCATCTCTCATTGTTTTCAAGTGTTTCAGTTTTTTCCCTCTGCAGTTCACTGGTTTGTTTCCTTCTTCTTTCTGTTTTTTTTTGTGAGCTGGGACTTTTTGTATGGGGGCGGATCCAAATTGTTACTTTTAAGTTTGTGATTTGTGGATTTCTCAGAGTAATTCATGGACCTTGATGAAAAAAAAATCACAATTATTTATGGGGCTTGAAATTAATTGTTGTGCATAATCTGGTGCAGATCCAAATAAAAATCTGGATCGAGTGTCATTCTAGTTGCAACTTGTTTCTTTTCAAGTGTTTATTAGCTATGGTCTTGCTTATTTTTATTTTATTTATTTGATGCTTTCAGATTTTGTCTCATTAAAGATTAACTAAACCTTACACAAATATATAGGCTTACTGATTGTGTGTCTTTGTCCAGGTCAGATCAGGGACGGACTGATCCAGCTCACTGCCATCAGCGAGACAGACTTGTCTCAGCACACTCCTCTGTCAGGCAGCATCACCCTGCCCTGGAGGTGTGAAGCCCTGCAGGGCTCAGTAGAGGTACTACATCCACACCCTCCCACTGCGTTGCTCCTGGAAAAAAAGGAATGCATGACAGAAGCGTCCCAAGTTTGCTGCTAAACAAAAAGACTTCTCTTCAATAAGAATCATCGTTTTATTATAACGTGTGGCAGTTTTGACTCTGTATAATAGATCTGTTCCTGACCTGGACTGAGATTTTGACATATTATACGACACATAGTAATGAAATCTCAGCGAAATCACATCAGTTCACATAGAAAATGTGTCTTAAGGCATTTTTAATTTTTCTTGACAGAACTGCTGCATCATGAGTCTGACTCTACTGGATGAATTCAGGAACCCCTTTTGGTGTGTCAGCTCTCCTGTTTCCGTGGAGCTGGAATATCCGTCCAGTGTGTCTTTCGACTATGATGGCGAGCACTTCCTGATCCACCACCTGGACGCAGACGGTCAGGTGAAGATGAAACTTGTCTGGATGAAGAAACAGAAGCAGTTCGTCGTCTTCAGCTTGGTTGTTTATGTGAGTGTTTCCAAAGTCAACGAGCATTTCGGGAGAGATTACTGAACATAAGAGGGTTTCAGTCATTACATCTGGATAATGACTTTAAACCTGGGTGACACACACACACACTCGATTTGATCTTTCCCACTGGATAAATAAGCCAGATTCTAAGGCATTCAGAGCTTCCACCAACACTTTGCCATTTTTGTCTTATAGAACAACAATATACAAAGGGTACAATCAAATTGCTGTGTCTTCTATGTTACATATTCTATCAGTGGCACTTTAAGTTTGCTGGTTGTTACGGTTTTGCTTTTTAATCTCATACATCATATAACATTTTAGCAGTTTGAGGGGTTTATTCAAGACTAAAACAAGTTTTGTTCGACCAAGCTCAGTTTTTCTGACTCCCGGATAAACAGCTACAATATTTTGATTGAGCAATATGGATGGAACATTATTTGATGTGGTCTAAAAGTAAAGACGCGCAAAACAGAGCTGCAACATTTGATGTCTTTTGTCTTCGTTTTCTATATCTCTCTCTCACCCGTCAACAAATCTTTAAATGTTGAAAAATCAAATGTATTTAAATTGAGACATAAAGTAATTTAAACAGCACAAAAATGATCACATTATTTTTTACAAATGTTTAGTTTATCTTTTACTTCTTATCCACACTCCTTTGGTGTATGATGCATAGAATAAAACAGTTCAGCATTTAAACTGTAGAGCCATTATGTTGTTGCTTATAGTCAGTCATATTTACCCTCTCTACCTCCAGTAGAATGAAAACTGAACATGTAATCAATATTTACTGTAAATAGCTGTGCTGTGAAACGATGCAGGGCATTTTGCCAGACCTTGTACTGTCTTATGACTTCATTATGATATTTAGTGACTCCAGATTAATTTTTACATGTCGTGTAAAGAGCTGTTTTATCACCACTGAAGCAAAACGATCACATGCTTTAAATGTATGAATAGATTGAAAGTTTAAAAAAAAATATGATTCACACAAATGAAATTTGGTTTCCCCCTGTCACTGCATTTAAACCATAACATCCACATTAACTTAATTAGGTTGTGACACATTATACAATCACTTTTAGATGAAAATTGAGTTTAATGTCCACACCCTGGGCGAGTCTGGCCGCAGCGATAGAATTAGTGTGGGAGCGATTGCTGGAAACAGTTGCCAGGCTGCTGATGGGCCAGCAATAAAATAAGGCAGGGCCTCTAGATAATAGGATTTCACAGGCTTCCCTCTCTTCTCTCAGTGAGGGTCACCTCACCTTGAAAAGATGCTTATTTTTCCAAACACATCCCCAACTGCATTGGCACTGGATCCGACATCATTGGGGGAAGTGAGCCAGAGGGAAAAAAGTGGGGCAACAGTATGTGGGATAAATTGAATTGAGACAAAAACTGTTATGGGGAGAGACAGAGAGACACTGTCTGAATCATAAGGACTCCAAGAGCAGTCGTATCTTCAACAAGACTTTAGCCTGAAGATGGAAAGTCTACACAGATGTAGCCCAGTTGCCCTTACGTGAATAAAAGTTTAGACATATCTGTCGACAGAGAGGATTGTACCAATGAACAGTCAAACCAAGTCCAATAGAAACATCTCCGTATTAAACAATATAGGATGGAGCAGGTGACAAGTCTTTGTAAACACGATTACACAAAAATAACCCAACAGATTTACATGAAACTTCTTGGAAGGACGTGGTATGAGTCAGGGAAACAAAACATTCGATTTTGATAAGAATCCAGATCAGGGACAATTATTTTCAACATTGCGATTGGGTGTTTTGCAAAATTGTTATAATTCATGGATTATAACAATGGCCCTGGGCGATGATCTTAAGGTACATGTTAAAAAAGACGTAACACAATGGATTTCTGCCTTCAGCACTAACCACACAGAGAAATTGTGTACAATGTGTACCGTGTGAAACATTCAGGTTACAAGAGTATTTCGACCCATTTCCATCCCAGTGACCTTCATACTCCTGTTTGCTGTCACATCAACTGTTCTAAAGTGCCGATCCCTCATTCCCATTTTATTAGAAAAATCAGCAGAGGGGGGGATTTCAGGCTCGTAATGGACTCGTATAGAACATAAAGTGCAGTTATCCAGACATCTGAGTCACATTAATGGCTAAACAAGGGATATGGATTTTTTTTAGGGGGCAAGGACCATGGGAGCTTTGTCAGAAAGCGCTGTGTGATTTAACTGTGGTGGTACAGAAATATGAATTTAATGCTCCTGTGGTGGTTTTTATATGAATTGCTAAAATCAAGTTATACAAGCATGCAAATTCAGTTTTTTGAAAGCAGTTCAATATACGCAGTTCTCCAGTAGATGGCTCTCTTTAGTAAACGATGAGAGGATCAGTAAACAGCACAGTGCTTTTATGATTTCATCCATTCTTACAATCTGTTCGAAGGCAATTGCAGAGAAAATCTATGTCAGCACATCATGACATTATGTCTCTTCTGTGGATTATTCAGGGAAATTGTCGTCTCTCTCGTGTTGCTTTTGTTTCACTTTGCAAAGTAATTACACGTTAATCAGAACTTAAATAATGATTGAGAAAGAATGGGTACATTTAGTGACATAAAGCTTCATTAAACTCATTTTTCTTAGTTTCCTCACAGGCTAATCTTGGAAGTAAATTGCTTCCATTTTTAGCCTTTAATTCTCTCCCTTGTGAGTGACCAGCTGGGTCCGCAAACTATTCAGCCTCAGGAACCAATGACACTGTCTCTATTCCGTCCTCTCATTGGAGGAAATCGCCTATTGAGGTACACAAGGAGGAGGCTAAAATTCTTCTGTGTATGTATTTGTGTCTGAGAGCACGGCAATCAATTTACAACATCCGTCTTAAATAAAACTGCTGTCTTAAAATAATATCAAGTCAATTTACATTTCCCCAAAGCCAGAGATAATCATATCTTTGCTCAGCACTGATGAGCGCAAAAGCCTTTTCTGTCCTCTCACATTCTGCAGTTATTACTCAGTTTGGTGAGAGTGAGGCCAAAAGAGTTAATTATGCTTGTAATTATCAGAAAAACATCAACCTCAACAGCTCATAAGGCGAATGCCCAAAAATCAACCATTAGAGGCGACATAATTGAGCGAGAAGCATTTTTGTTGGTGCCACAAAATACCAGATGGTCATGTGATTATAACACAGGGAGTGAACTCTGCAGCCATTGACCAGCAGTCACCTTCCACATGTCTCCCTCTCTTCTGATCACTCCAGAGGATAGAGGAGCAGAGCCTCAAGGGGGGACAGTGTTATAAAAGATCCCTGGTTTATTCTCCCCCCTTTTAAAATGGTGCGTCAAGAGCAAACGGGTGCGGAGAAATCCATTTATATCAGAGCTGCTGTCTGTCCTCTGGCTTCAAGAGCTCAACGAGCAGCAGTATAACAGGAAAAAGTGCCTTCTCCCGCTGCGCGGTGCAGGGTTGCATCAGTCTGCAACCAGCGTATACAGCAGATGTGATGTTACTGCATATTTCTGGAGTTCAGGTGCAGAATGATGCACTTCTCCTTCAAGGAGAGGTGTTGATGAATGGTAGAAAGTCGAAATACCCTAAATACAACTCTTCTTCATTACATTCTAATTCTAATTACATACAAGCTTAACTGAGTCATGCTATATACTGGTAATTCATACTTCCACTTCATTATTTTTCATTGGGAAATAGTACACATTTAACTTTACCTATTTATCTGACAGCCTTATAATATTCTAAACCTTAGACAGTATTTTAATGGGAAATTTTAATATAGTACTGTTTGTTCATTTATTGTGCCTTGTACCTAATAACTCATGCAATGTAAGAGCACAGCCTGTACTTTCTCCGCTCCTGTCTCTGATATATCTTGCAAACTGAGCTACTACATGTGTACTCCCTTAAAGTGAAACCAAAGCATCTCGATCGCCCCCTGCAGGCTGGCTACGAGGCTCCATCCCCCGCACGCTACTGCGCAGACTCTGGCTCCATCTTGACCTGTCCATGTTTATATATAGTCTTTGGTCAGTTTTTTTACAGCCTAATCTAGCAACAGTTACTATGTAAAATAGTTCAAATGAGCTCAACCTCAATCAGCTTTAACATTAAAATGGTAGACTATTACCACCTTTTCTTAAGAAAGAGATTCGCCATGTTAAGAGAAAGTACACATTTCTGAAGTTAATGGACTCCCTACATCACTACTTACAGAATTTATTTTGAGGCCACTCGCTGTCACATACTTGGCATCCGTCCTTGAACAGTGTCTGACTCCCGGGGGTCTAAATTATCTGTAATTTTGGATAACAGGGTGGTGAATGTCCTTTGTGTCAAAAAATAAATTACTCACCACTGGTTCTCTCCTCCCTCTCAATTCCTCGCTCTGTGTGTTTGTGTGTGTGTGCGTCAGAGAGTGAGCATGAGTCAGCACATTATCCAGTATACTGTAGGAGCACTTTCCAGAATTCCACACGGTTCACTAGTTTGTATTACCCTCACAGTAACATCCTGTGGCTGCCTAGTCTCAGAGCAGATGTTTTCGCAGGCAGGTGCAGTCCTAACTCTGTTCCGATGCTGCTGGAGCTCACTGTGGGTTCAGGAAGGGTTGCCTGGTTATCTAAGCTCTATTTACAGGGGCTAAACTTTAAAAGACATGTTTGACATTTCTGGAAAATACAGCATTCACTATCTTGCTGAGACTTTGATGGGGAGATCGATACATCCTCAAGACTGCCAGCACCTCAAAAGCTTTATATCTGACACAAAAACCAAGGTTTAAAGAGGACAATTTGTGGTTTTACAGTTGGTGAAGGGACAAAACTGTAGCAGCTGGCTGCTGTCTGGTATTCACTATATACTCATGAGAATGCAATCAATCTTCTCGTCTGTCTCTCAGCAAGAAAGTCAGGTAAAGTTAAGTTTTATCAAGCAAGTTGATTTCTTTCTGAAACACTCTCTCTTTAGATCCCTGCAGCCAAATCAATAAATA